CCGGCGGCGGGCGGGCGAGGCCGGCGGCCTGGGCCGCTCCTTGCGGCAGAGCCGGCCTCCCCCCAGGCCGGGCGCCCCTTCGGGCTCAGGCGCAGGGCTGGCCTGGGGGTGCATGGGGGGCTCTGGGGGGCTGCAGGCCGGTGTCCCGTCCCCCCCCCCCGAGCTGGGCTTTTAATTGCACCGGGTGGGTGCTGCAGTCGTGCTTTTCATGGCTTTGTCCTGTCTAAACGCTTAAATTAATCACACGCTGGAACCACGGGCCTGTTGCTGGCATGCTGGGTGGCATAGGCCGTTTTGGTGTCCTTCGTGAGAAACTTGGGTTTTTAGCAGGAACTTAAAGTTACTGTAAACTGCGGGGGGTGGTGTGGATTCTGTCCCTTTCAGATGAAGTTGAGAAATCTGATGGAAAAGGGGAAATGCCGTGGCCTTGTGAAAAAACCTTTATTGCGGTGTAGTAGGGGGGAAGTCAAAGCTGTTTGAAGGTGCACTTGTTTTCTGGCCTTTTTTTGATCTAGGTAGTAATTACACGAGTGACTCTACCTGTACACCCAAATAGCGTGGGTACTTACAAGGTGGTAAGCAGGGAGCCTCTCTGCAATGGTTTCTTTGAAAATGTCAGTCTGGTTTGAAAGCCAAATTGATCATCACCATTCCTGTTCACCCAAGTCTACTGCTCTGCTTTAGTCTGGAGTGGAGGCTTCTGTCAAGGTTGGAGCCAAGGTGACTTCATAGTCAGTTCATCTTTTTCTATGTAGATTTTGGCTTTTGCCCAAACTGACACTGCTTGCAAGCTGGATAAGAAAAACATTTCAGTTGCTTTTGGTTTGTCACAGAACTGGTTGATCTTATTGGAAGCAGGATTTTGAGTCAGTGGTGCGCTGTTTTCAGGGGGAATTGATGCTGACTGATGTCAAGGAAATACTGTCTTGCGGACAAAACAAGGAGTGTTGTAAGCCCTTTCCCGTTGACTGAGGAGGAAGTGCTCATGAGACAGTCATGAGATGAAATGCTTTGCTCAAGATGGCGTTTTCCATTTCTTGCAGGCAGTGGGCTGCAAACACTTGCAGTCTCAGCAGACTCCACTGGTCAAGGAGTCATAGCATAATGTCTGTGTAATTCTCCTTGCTCAGGTGAAAGGAGCAGGCCAGCTTGTGCTTTTGATTAAGACTAGTTCAGGAACACATGTTGTGTCTCAGGGTGTTTAGCAGGATTTTGACAGGAGTAAAAGTGAGAAATAGAAGTTCCAGTCTTAGACCATCTTATATACCCAGTGACCCTCAAACCTTGTCTAATGCAGTTTTGATTATTGCCAATTAAGCGATTACATTGCAACAGTTCAGACTGCTTGTTTAAATGTAAATACCGCATTGTTGACAGTCTAGACAACACATGGTAAGTGTGCCAAACCTGGGCAGACTGAAGTGGCAAAGCCAGATGATTCCCTGTGGCTTGGTGCTGGTGGAATTTGTGATCTTTCCCAGTACCACGAGCGCCTGTTTCCTCTGCCTTGTAGCGTGACCAGGAATGGGTGCTGGTGTCTCTCCTGTTCTGCAAATGGCTCTACTTGCTCATTTTTCCCTCCCAGGGATAAGTGATTAACAGTCACTCTCTTGGTCACTGCTGCTTGTGACCCTGATAAAGCTTTGACTCAGTGTTGCTTTTACCTGTGGATCAAGTGATGCTGGGCTCTAGCTGGGATACTAGTGTGTCCTTAGAGCAATGCAGAAGGACTGTTTACTACAGCTTTTCCGCTGGGCTGATAGCAGAGTGATGAATTCTGGGCCCATGGTACCTCAGAAGTTGTATGTAGTGCTAATGCTTGAGCTGCTGATGTTTAAGACATGAGCCTTATCAGGAGCTGGCTAGCTGTGGCCTTCTCTCAGGTGTCAATCCTTAAGTTAAGCCAGGATAACCCAAGAGTAGGAGCAGTTTGGCTAAGGTGAAATTCAACCTTTTACAGTATGGTGCGTTGACCTTTTCTCAGGAGTCAGGAAAGGTGTTATAAGGTTTCCTCTTAGCAGTGTGCCAAAAAAACACAACTCACTGTAGAAGCTCTGCTGATCAGCTTTTGAGCATGAGATCCGCTTGAAAGCCTGGACTTAGCAAAGCATGTGGGCTGTTTTGGTGTCATGGAGCAGGATATTTCTGTGGTTAAAAAAAAAAAGCATAGAAGTTAAGTATTGATATTAAGGTTTTCTCACCATTTGTTGGACATGAAGTGCAGTGGCACCTTCTTTATCACAAATTACAGATGTTGTTATCCCTGCTTTTTAAAGATCTTGCAACTGTATATTTTTCTTAGCTTAGTATGTCAACTCTACATTGTATTGGTGTTTCTGGTGGCATTTGAATTATCCCTGGATATAGACTTGCAGTGAATTGCTGTGACAGACAAGAAAATGGCAATATCATATATCTTAACATTACCTTAGGTGCTTTGGAAGTAGCAGCAAAAAATGCTGGCCACACAATTCAGTAGCTAATCCTTCTTGTAGAGTTCATAATAAACATAGAGGTGATACAAAGCTGGGCCCAAAATCTGCAAAACTGAGACTGGTGATAGGAATGAAACTTTGAAAACTTTATGTAGGATATTTCTGATATTTTGAGGAAGTAGCTGACTTGTGGCTTGCTTTCTTTCAGCTTATAAAACTGTATCGGGTGTGAATGGTCCCCTGGTTATCTTGGATCAAGTTAAGGTAAAGATTCCGATTGTTAATGAATGAAGCTTTTTGAGAGAGAGTTTACAATAAAACCCGTGACAGATTAAATCCAGACTGTTGTGAAATTCATGGGTCCACTGAGCAATTTTAATACAAGATATGTTTCTAACTGCTGAGATAAATGAGAGTATGCAAATTTCTGTAAAGCTGAGGAGAGTTGGAAGAAAGGGAGAGTCACTGAGACTGTTGAGGGAAAGAAAGGAAACAGTGTTTCAGTTTTACCAAAATCCCCAAAATGTTGTCTAAATTTGAATGCATAAATATAACTATTCACTTTGTTCTTGACCTTTTTGTTACCAAAGTGTAAGTGCTCTGTAAAAGGGAACTGTAAACAGTTTTGGCTTGTTTTCAAATCACTGCCAAGTTACTGTTGAAGGCAAGCAACTGATGCTATGTACAGGCAAAAGCGAGCTTTTTCTTATTGTCAGACACTACATTGTGGCTTTCCATTAGTATTTCAGGACACTAGGGCATTTAGAATGGGTTCTGTTGGGTCTTTCTGCAGCCTGCAAATCTGAGCAAATGTTGTATAGTCCCTGTAAAAATGGCTTTAGCCTGACAAATTTTAATTGCCTTGGAATGAGTTTTGTTCTGATGATAAAATTATTTTTAAAAATAGAGTAGTTGCTAAGCTTAAGCTTGCCTGAAACTGATAGCTTCTGTCTCATGACTTTTCTTCTGGATTTTAATGTTTTCCACCATCTTTCTTGTTCATCTTCAGTTTCCTAGGTATGCAGAGATTGTCCACTTGACTCTTCCCGATGGCACAAGAAGAAGTGGGCAGGTTCTGGAAGTCAGTGGCTCCAAAGCTGTGGTTCAGGTATGACTAGGGACAGGAGTGTCCCTTGTTGCAACAGAAAAATATTTTATTTATCAGCATGTGTCTAAGCCATGTCAAATCTATCTTGTGATATGTTCTTCTGTTACTGTAAATTAAAAAAAAAAATCACCTACTTATTCCAAATGCAGGTGGCATGAATAATTTTTGAGATTGAAAGCTGTAGTACAGTGATTTTTTTTTCTATTTGCATCCCCCCCATAGATTTCTTTGCTGCTAGATTAAAGGAATCGTACTGTAATTGTACAGTATTAGATTCAAGATCAACTCCTATGCTATGCGGATGCTGGTATTTCTTTTAAGCAGCTGTTTCTTGTTAATTTTAGTTCTTCTTATCTGAAGAACTTTACCCTGTTGGCAAAGGGAGATACTTGAGATCAAAGGAATGGTGCCGGGTTTGTTGGTTGCTGCTGATACACTTCATGAATTTTGTTTAAAGTAGGTTTTTATGTGATGTTTTGTACTAGCAAGCTGCTCTTGAAATCCTTTGCTTGCAGAGGACTGCCTTGCTTTTCTGCCCTCTGGCTGATCAAGTTCTCAAGCTGTGAAGCAGCGTTCTAGTGTGTTATTTTGTAAAGCACAATACTTCTTTCTCCTGTGGTTTTTTTCTTCTGGTATATTTGCAGGTATTTGAAGGAACTTCAGGTATTGATGCTAAGAAAACGTCTTGTGAATTTACTGGGGATATTCTTCGAACCCCTGTCTCTGAGGATATGCTTGGTAAGTACTTGCATATTGCTTTGAAGAATGAACAGACTTATCAGACTAACTTATTTTCAAGTAATTTACATTTTGATTTTATTGCTGTTTCTTGTAGGCAGAGTATTTAATGGATCAGGAAAACCTATAGACAGAGGCCCCATTGTTTTGGCTGAAGACTTCCTTGACATAATGGGTATGTTCTTAATCCATTTCTGGTACGGAGTTAAAGATAAATCTGATGTTTCTGATTTCTGAAAGTTAGAAAAGATTTGGGTTTGAACATGGGATCTAACTGTTAAGGGGAGTTTTAAAGTATGTGTGTGGCATCAAATTCAATCAAATTTACACAAGTGCAGGAAGATGAGGTAGCAGAAAATAACTGTTTTCTGTAACACCTGGAAGCTGTTCTTTGAAGTATTTGTAGACTATCTTAATTATACAGCCTCCAAAGATAAAAAGCGAGTAACCTGACAGGCTTTTCTTGAAAGCACTCTTACTGTTTACATGACCACATGTCTTGGGATCTACAAAAGGCTCAGGTTTGACCAGGCGCATTTAAAGATTTGTAGGCTTAACAGTGGGTTTTGCACCTTTTGACGTGAGCCTTAGATCAGTGCTCAAAGTCAGTGGTAGTTTGATCAAGCTTCAAACATGTACATGGAATAACATGTGTTCTCTTAAAAAATATAACAGGTCAGCCAATCAATCCCCAGTGTCGTATCTATCCAGAAGAAATGATTCAGACTGGCATTTCTGCTATAGATGGTATGAACAGTATTGCCAGGGGGCAGAAAATCCCCATATTCTCAGCTGCTGGCTTGCCCCACAATGAGGTGAGTACTCAAAGCTACTCTCTAACCAGTTAGTGGCTTGCATTTCACTGTGGTTGAAAAGTAAACTAAGTTAAATTCTGGTCTGTGTAATAGCATCAAACATAGAGATGGACTGAAAAAAAAATTTTTTTTTCCCCTAGATTGCAGCTCAGATATGTCGCCAGGCTGGCTTGGTGAAGAAATCCAAAGATGTGATGGACTACAGTGAAGAAAACTTTGCCATTGTGTTTGCTGCTATGGGTGTAAGTCAGTATTATTGGAGGAAAATGATGCTTGAGTAATAAATAAGACAATGATGAGAGCTGCTGAAGTATTCTAAGTAGGTCTTAAGTATATAACTAAACAGTGCTAAACTGGCTGGCTGAATGGCTGAAAATCCCAAATGGCCAGAAGAACTGTGAAAGTGTGTCTGATCAGGATAAAGTATCTTAAACTTAAAATCTCCAGCCTGGAATTCTAGCAATAACTCATTCTGTTGGGAATGTAGGGGAGTTTTCATGATACAGAGAGCTTTGCTTATGGATTATTAATGAGATGTTTGGGCCTTAATATGATGCAAAATGCAGTAACCTAAAATCTGGTCTGGAATTGATGCCTTAATATCTTGATTTAGGTGAACATGGAAACTGCTCGGTTCTTCAAATCAGACTTTGAGGAAAATGGGTCCATGGACAATGTGTGTCTGTTCCTGAATTTGGCCAATGATCCAACGTAAGTAGTTATGCTATGTTGGTTGGGAAAAGGCTAAGAACAAGTAAACCGAAAGCTGAAGCCTCACTGGTGTCCTGCCAGATGTTACTTACGTTGAGGTTTTGCAGCAAAGTTGAGTATGAAATGCTGGTACTCCAGCTGGTGCACATAGATTTTTCAGAGGGTTTTAAAGTATTTGTTACTTCAAACTGTTACCTTGCAGCCTTAAAGTGCTCATCGTAAATAATGCCATACTGTTCTATTTCAGCATTGAACGCATTATCACACCTCGTCTAGCTCTAACAACAGCAGAGTTCTTGGCATATCAGTGTGAGAAGCATGTGCTGGTCATTCTGACAGATATGAGCTCCTATGCTGAAGCTCTGCGAGAGGTACGCATTTATTAACTCGCATGCTGGGTGTTGGCAGAAAGGGTTTGTCGTATAAAGTGAGAATGTAAACTTCTGCTCAAGCTGTTACAATTAGTATTCATTACAATGTCCTAAAATAGCCAGTGAGGCTTTTAGTTATTCATTGATTGTCTAGGATTATGTTCAGCAGTCAAAGAGCTATTGTTTCTCTGATAGCTAAACTTGCTTGGCTGGTGGCATTTAGCAGTTTGATATTATAGTTTCTGTTTTGCCTTGGCATCTTTTTCTCATCATACATGGTTGTGGTGACATATTTCTCTTAACAGGGGTTTGTGTGGCTGTATTTTGGTATCACCTGCAGGAAGAGGTACTTTAAGTTGCTAGCGTAGCTTAATTAGGAGAGATGGCAGGTCTGTATGAGTGATCTGACTTCTTGGAAATGTTTTTCTGGATTGCCTCAGGTTTCAGCAGCTAGAGAGGAAGTGCCTGGCCGTCGTGGTTTCCCAGGCTACATGTACACTGACTTGGCTACTATATATGAGCGTGCTGGGCGTGTGGAAGGCAGAAATGGTTCCATTACTCAGATTCCTATTCTTACCATGCCCAATGATGGTGAGTGAGTTATTTTCAAGTGTTTTTAATAAACAGCACTTTAAAGAACTCCTTTAGAGCAACCTGTCTTATTTTGGACACACAGAAAAATAGGAGGTCCTGTGGCCTTTAGGTTTCTATTTGAATATGGTGGTTCTTGGCTGCCTTCTCTGTCCACATTGCTAACAGAAATGCTTTGCCCATTTTGGACTTCAGGACTTTTTCTCCAGCCCTCTGTCAGGAGTGCTTACAGCTCTAATCCTTGCATAAGAGCACTTAGTGATATATGGGGGTACTAACTGATAGCATTTTACTTTAGAAGTCACTTAACTGCAAAAAGCTGCCGCATCAGTGCTAGAATGGATATAAAAGGTCTGAAAACTGTCAAACCATTTTTTTCCACAGATATTACTCATCCTATCCCTGACTTGACTGGGTACATCACTGAGGGACAAATCTATGTGGATAGGCAGCTGCATAACAGACAGGTGTGTACCACGCTGGTTGGAACATATTTAAGATTACTCTGTACTTTTTGAAGTGTTAATACTGAAATTCTTGGATGTCTTTCCTCCAGATTTACCCGCCTATTAATGTCTTGCCCTCCTTGTCTCGACTGATGAAGTCGGCTATTGGAGAGGGTATGACCAGGAAGGATCATGCAGATGTATCCAACCAACTGGTATGTAAAAGCCTCTTCAGAGAAGCAGAAGCATAGTTCAAATATACCTTTTACTAAACAGCCTGTAAAGGGCATGCCAAACAGTTGCAATCCAGAACACTCCTGAGGTTCCTTTAAAAGCATTGACTGAGTGCTTAGTGTAGTCAAGTGAGACCCTTTGTTTGGGTTTGAACAGAAATCATTACATGGGTGATCAAGGTAAAAGCAATTCTGTTTCTATCCTTTCTAGTATGCCTGCTATGCTATTGGAAAGGATGTACAAGCTATGAAGGCTGTAGTTGGTGAGGAAGCTCTTACCTCAGATGATCTTCTTTACCTGGAGTTTCTGCAGAAGTTTGAGAAGAACTTCATTGCTCAGGGTAAGTGCCTGTTTCAAGAACGTCACAGTATGCAGTAACACCTAGAAGGTCTTGTTCTCAGATCTGCCTGGTGGCAAGACATTCTTGTGCCCCATATTTCAGTCTGTGGTTGCTTTCTGCAGGTCCTTATGAAAATCGCACTGTTTATGAGACCTTGGACATTGGATGGCAGCTTTTGCGAATCTTCCCCAAGGAGATGTTGAAGAGAATTCCTCACACAACACTGGCTGAATTCTACCCTCGAGATTCAACTGCAAAACACTAGCCACAGCTTCATCTCTAACTCCTTGCTCTGTGAAATGCTGTTTGTTTTCTTTTTTCATGTGTTGGTGTTTACTTGTCACCCTTAAAATTAAAACCGAGAATAGGTGACATTTGTGCCAGTGTTTCAATGTACACTGATACCAGTTTTTAAAATATCCCTTCTTCCAAAGCCTGGATCTTCAGGAAAATATTTAGGCCAGCTCTTGCAAATGTGCAATAGCTATCACAAAGCTTGTTTTTTGAACTGGGCCTTTTGTAGACATTTCAAGGGAATGTCTGAGCTTTACCAGAAATTGCAGATCTTTACTTTCAAACCAGGAGCACATGGTTTAGAAAACATGAAAGAGCAAATGTGACTTCTTTTGTCCAAAGCATCTGCTCAATTTGATCATATGCAGTTGCCATGCTGCTGGTGGAACAGATGGCACTCTGCTGTCCTGCTGTTGTGCCTGAAGACCAGGCTAATATGTGGATAGTGTGGTGTATGACAACATACCTTTCTGAAAAATGCAAGTCGCTGATTTTTAACTGTGGCTTAAGATTCTTAAAGGTATACATGAACTGAGGACACTAGTAGTCAGGCTAGGTGCTTTTCTACTAGCAAAGGGTCTTTTCAGAGGTCACAGGCCAGTGAGTTGCTATCTGAAGGTAGCATGATAAGGCTTAATTACTGAATTAAAGGTTTTAAATTGAAGTTTGCAGAGTAAATTTCCTACTTACCCCTCCCTTTTTTTTTCTTTAAATTCTGGAAATGCCAGAGACACAAAACAGCAGCTAAAGCATTCCGAGATCTGTAGTGTCCCAGTGGGGAAAAACTGTAGGTAATTCAAGGCTTTGTGCTGCTACTGAAGGGGATTGAGATGTGAAAAAAACCTCTTATACCTGACACAGTTGTACTGGTGGGAGGTCAGCTTTTAAAGTATGTCTTGTACTAAATGCAATAGGAGAAAGCAACTTATTGTGTGAATGGATATTTTGAATTCTGTTATAAAGCATGCTCTAGGTGGCACTGGGTCCAGAGTCGTGTTTGAAACTGTTGTGGTTTGCACTCCAGGCACAGATTTGGCTAGCCAGGAGAGCTCAGCATTCCCAAACACTGCAAACTTGGCTAGTCAATTCAGTGTTGTGTTTTTTTTTGTTTTTTTTTAAATTGGTTCAGATGAGGCTCCAAGCCCAGTGCTGGCAGGCTTTCTTGCTTTTTTTCCAGGCTTAATGTAGTCTAAGCTCTGGTCTAGCTAACCAAAGCATGTTGCACCTCTCTAAACGCCTTCAGTGCTTCTCTAGGAAGGTGCTAACATGACTTGAATGATGGTGTACTAATTCAGCTTTCCCTGACGTCTCCTATGTGCAGTTCTTTCTATAGTTTGTTCAGTGTTCTTTGTAACTTGGATGCAATAGCAACTTTATTCCACTGCATTCCACCCTAAAGCTGTGTCAAATCTATTTTTCTTGAGGTGGGGATGGGAGGTTGGAAGTGTTGGCATGAGAATACTTTAATGTAGAGAATATCTAAATAAATTAAATATGGAAGGTGTTGAACAAAGCTTTTGTGATTGTGTTTGAAAACAACTTCAGGTCTTTCAGCAGTGCCTAAGATGTCCTTTGCCACTGGGGATCCTGTTTACATGAATGAAACTACTTCATAATGTGCTGAAAACACCTTTCACTTCCATTTCTAGGTGTGCAGTGAGGGCTGTGTGAGCCACCCCCACATTATTGCTAGAGCTGGTTGCTTTTGATGATCAGGATTTGGCCTTTGGTTTCAGGACCGAATGCTTTGTGCTGGTGGAGTGGGTGGGTGGTGCAGTCACGGGTAAAGGCTTTGCAGGAATGTTGGGGGGTAATGCGATACCACCACTGTTTCCACACGCTCTCAACAGATCCTTAGCACTAGAGGAGGCTAGGAAACCTTGAAAGGCTTCTCAAAAATGAGCTTAGGCATATGTTGATTTTAAATTTTCTGTGTGAACAGTACTACTAAGGGTGAGGGGGGCCTGGGTAGGTTTACTCAGGTGTTCTGTGCATACAGCCTGGGGCATGACTCTGCTTAAATTCCTGATGTCAGTCCCTCTCCATGAATTAATTGTTGTAAGTTTCCCTGCTTTGGGGATGCAGCGTGGCTGGTGAAGGTGAGAGACTGAGAACAGTGTGAAATGGAGAGATCCAGGATCCTTCCTGATGCTCTCGAGAGAGCAGAGGTAAACCCAAACACACCTTCCTTTGCTGAACAATGTACACATCAAAACCAGTAACTTAATGAGGGAAGGAAGCACCTTTACTTTCTGCTGATTCTGCTATTCATCTTTAAAGATTTGTGCCCCGATGTGCTGAGCTGCACTGACACTGTCTCCGTAAACAGTTTGTTCTGACTGATAAAAGCCTGAGGCTGTCTCAGGTTTTTTCATATTAAATGTTGCACTATGCTGTAATTTGAGCTGTTTCTTCTACAGAAGTACAAGTCCTTGAGGTAGTTAAAGACATTAGCTCATTTTAAAAAAAAAAACACCCAAACCTCATTTAAATGTCCAAGCTGGTTTGTGCAGTATGTTTTTTATCAGGAGAGACACTTAAGTTACAAATCCCCTATCCTCAGTATTGATAATGGCTTTGATTGTCCCACAGACCTTGAAAGACTGTTTGTTTAGAGTGGTGGAGGAAGAGGAAGGAGGATCTAGTATGCTGAAAACATGTCTGATGGCTTAAAAAAAGTTGAAACAAGTGCTTTTGACATTTACTACCTGTTTACCCCCTTAGTTACAGTCCCTCTGTCTTGAGGGAGAGCCTGTAGCTAGGGCATGGGAATAACTTCATGAACAGATGGCAGCCATCGGTGCTCAGTAACTCAGGTTGTGAAACATGAGTAAGAGGAGAAATTCCAAAGTCCAGTGAATTCCTGAAATCCTTCAGCAGGTGACCGGGTTTTGGGGACAAAGGTTGAACCAAGCATTCCTGAGGGTGGGCGAGTGCTGTGGAGCAAGGCAGCGGCCTCTCATGAGATACCTGTGAGTGTCTGCATATGGATAGCAGGGGTCCTGAAATGTGCATATGTTACGGAGCAAAGCAAAAGGAATTCTGCAATTATAAGAATATTCATGGCAATTAAGCTCTACTAATTTGCAGCTGAGGGGAGCAAAGGGGAAAGAATGAGATGTATTCTGTGGCTCAGGGCAGGCTGGTGAGCAGCTCTGACGCACAGGCAAGCCATCGATGATAGCGTGGCTCATCCGGGCCAGACAAAGGTTTGGGATGAATATAAATAGCGCCGGTGGCTTTGTGCCAGGGATAAAATAGCTGTTGTCTGCAGCACACGGGAGCTGCGTGCTCAGCCTGTGTTGTGGAGAGAGGCCGGCTGGGCTGCGGCGAGCGCGGTGCTTGGATGGAGCTCGGCAGCCACGCAGCGGCACTGCACGCCCGGCCAGGAGCGAGCGGAGAGGGGATGGAGCGAGCTGCCGCATGTCAGCTCCCCGGTCAGTCGTGTTGCTGCAATCCAGAAGGACAAGGCTGTTTCAGATCCTGGATCACCTGGAAATAAGATTGTTTTTCAATTACATATTTAGACAGCAGCGCAAGAAGCGCTTCAGAAATTATCAGGCCTGCTGGAAGCAGCAGTGCATGCAGCGATGCTTCTTAGTTTGCTTGGATGACACTGCAAACGCACTGAGGTTTTGCATGGTGCTTGTGGGGACCAGGGGTAGGGCTGGGTCTGGTTCGCTTGGCTTTGTAATGTCAAGGGAGAAGGTTGTGCTTATAAGCACAAAACCAGCCTGCTGAGGCTCTTCAGCTCATATCTGGGGGAGTTAATTCAGGCTTACTTGCTGCTTAAACCTCTAGGACCTCTGGTTTAATGAGGCATGTAGGTCTGGCAGAGATTTGGTGGCGGCATCCAGCCCTGACCTACCCCTTCTGCTCCCCGGACTCCTGCGTGCGAGCGACCGGGCTGCTGGTGCCACGCTGCTCCTGGCTGGAAGTGACTCCCGCCGGGATCGCCAGGCAAGCCTGAGCCTGCTCTCCTCTGGCTCTGGAGACTCGAAGCGGGGCAGAAATCTGCATTCCTCCTGGCTCCTGGAGAAAACGCATCTGCCGACGCAGGCGCAGCATCGCTGTCACCCTGTGCACGCAGGCAGGTTCCCGGATAACGACAGACCCTGTCCTACAGACCAGAAGCTCCCAGGTAGCAAACAGCCTGAGCCTGGCACAGGGCCCTGTAAGAGAGGAATGACAAAAATAGCTTTAGCTCCCGTCAGCCGGAGGCCCCGGGAGCAGGCTGGGGCTTGCAGCACAGCTATTTTAGAGCTGATGGAGAACGTAGCCCTTCGCTGGGAAAACAGAGTGGGAAAGCAAAGGGTGCTCAGGGCTGGGAGGAAGGGGTGCCCCTCTGCGTGGCGTTGGGCCGGCTGTCTATGAGCCGTCCTTGGGCTCTGTGTCCCTGCCTGGCCAGGAGCGAGCCGCTCCTGACGTGGCGTTTAGCCGGATGCTAAACAAACAGCCCAATATTTCATGGTGCGGAGACAGCAGGTACCATGCTAAATGGGACGTGCTGATCTCCCAGCTGCTGCCTTAGTGCATTTACACTCTGTTTTCTTTTTTTCTTTTTTTTTTTTTTTTTGGTAATGACTAATGAGGACTGCCTGGGGGTCTTATCCCCCTTTGCCAACTGATGTCAGCCAGTCAGGTCCCTCGGAGAAGCACACGCCAGCTGTCGGCTCATTTAGGAGGGGAGGAGAGCAAACATTGAACACGTTTCCCCTACCCTGCCCCTTGGGTTTTCAGTTGGGACTGGCAGATGTAAGGCAGGGGAGCAGGCTGGTGGGGAGAGCTGCTGCAGGTTATTTGCACATCAAAAGCAGCTTTGCCTCCGACCCTCTATCACCCTGCGAGCACGAGGTGGCTTGATTTAATTGCTCTTTCAAAGGCAGCCCTGGTCTTGTGTCTGCTGAGATTTTAGGTCTGACTCTGCCCCCCCATAGTCAGAAACTGGTGCAGTGGCACCAGGGTGTTAAAAGAAGATGCAAATCAGCTTTTCTCCATCTTGAAGCTTATTTGCATCCGCTGATTAGTTCAACAACTAATTCAAACTCCTTCTGTTTGAGGATGGTTGGTGCTCGGGCAGCTGGAGCAGAGCTAACCCAAAGCACAGACGGAGCAGGGAACCCCAGTGACTGTGGGGGAGATGCACAAGCTGGTGCTGCTCCTCCTGTTTTGGCCCCCAACACCTAAGTCAACCATGCCCCTCAGGTTCGGACGCTTCCTTAACCCTGGGAGCCCCGGCACGTGCGGATGCCATCCCGTTCATGTTCAACCTGCCACAGAGAAAGCACCGGGTATCACGAGGGAATGGCTTTACCTTGGTATTATCAGGGCTTTCTGCTCCTTCCTGAACGTACCTCCTCTTCGGCATGAAGCAGCGGGGTTGCAGCCATGGTTGTCCTCCACCGCTCAGCTTTCCTAGTGATCTCACAGCATCTCAACGCTGGAGTTGTGCTTCTGTTTGTGCAACAGCCCTACAAGGGCCAGGTGGTGCCTGTTACCTGATTTCTGCTGCTGCCTGAGGCAGAGGATGCTCTGAGCCCTACCTGTGGGGAGGGGACCGCTTTTTCTCATCAGTACCTTCACTAGGGTTTTGGTGAAAAAGGGGTGGGACCTCATCTGGTGTAATGGAAGAAGCAGCCCAGGGTTCCCCAGGGCTGGGATTTTGGCTTCCCAGTGTCCTGAGCATTGCCAAGAAGCTGTCCTTACAGTGTATGTGCCCTCAGGGATGCTGCCCTTGCTCCTGGACCTGCCCTGACTCCTGCTGCTGCTCCTCAGCCCCGGTAAGTCTCCGCTTTGCTGCGCTGCAGCATCCTCAATTTGGTTGTGACCTCTGTGGGACAAGGGATGTCCCCTGGGATAACAGCCAGCTCGGGGGGCTCCTCCTCGCTGTTCCCCTGACCCAGATACACGGACAAGCCCAGGAAAGGTTCAGCTGAGCCGGCAGCACCCCGCAGCCGGGGCAGGCGACGGTCAGAGGTGATTTGTAACAGAAGGTGCCGCTCAGGAAAAAGAGAGTCCTCGCACGTGGTTTTCTATCTTCTTCCTCCTCAGCAGTTTTCAAAGGCTCTAAAAATAAACTTCCCTCGTGCCTCCGGCAGCGTGAGCAGAGCCAAGGTTTCCCTGGAAAGCATCAGCGGGAGCTGGGTGCCAGTGCTGGGTGCCCTTTCGGGGGGCACGGAGCAGCTTCTGTGTGGCTTGGGCCCCCCCACCCCATGCTGTGGTGGGAGGAGTGCCCCACGGAAACAGCCAGATGAGTCAGCATGAATAGTGTTTTCTGCAATTTGAGCGTTTCCCCCTATTTTCTGGCCCCCAATATCCCCTTTTACCTCCCCCCCCATGCTGTTTAAACCTGTGAAACCGCCAGATTCGTGCAGTGCAAACAGGCTCTGAGTTGACCGGTTTTGGAGGAAAACAACTTAAATAGTCAAAACATTTCCTTGGTTTCGTTAAGGCGTTGCCACTGTATCTCTCCCTGTTATTGTTTTCTCCGGCTCTCCTCAGGAGATGGACCTG